TTTCTCCTGAGTGCCCAGACCTGTCACATCCCCTCTCACTTGACCCTGGGCTCTAGAGTTCAGCTCAGAGATTTTAAGCAATTGGCTCATGATGGCTCAGCTCTTGAGTCCCAGCCTGGACTGATTTCTAAAGAGAAACTTCCACCACTTCTACCATCTTACCCGCCTTGAATGGATGTCTCTAGGATTGCCTACCACATTTAATCAGGTCCATGTTCAGGCCCGTGTGCAGACCATCGCCCCTCTGTTCCCTGCTGCTTTCAAGACCTATCTGGAGTCCCCCATCCTGGGGTTCCAGACTCTGGGCGTGCCAGACTAGCCCCCTTCACCTCCACTCCCCACCACAACCTAGGGCCAGGCTCCTCTCTGCCCTGTCCTGAGTTAAAATCTTAACCCCACCGTTTACCAGGAGTGCAGCTTACTTAAACTCTGTAAAAATTGGAGTAATGATGTTTTTACTGGATGGTTGGGAAGATAAAGTGCAAAAGCCCCAGGGACTTTGCACTTGCTGTTTTCTATGCCTACAGTGTTCTTTGTCTTCCCCCCACACCTGACTAAAACCATAAGCTCCATGAGGGCTGAGATTTGATCTGTTTTGTTCACTGCATATTCTCAGCACCTAGCACAGTGCCTGATATAAGCACTCAGTTAATATTGGCTGGATGCAAAAGAAGTAATAGGAATAACCCAGATAATGTGAAATAACTTTGTAAACTGTTTAGAGATGTACAAATAATAATTGCTCCCTCAGACAGTGGTTCCCCACCCACATCCTCTGCCTTACTCTCTGTTAAAAGCCAATATGATAATTGCATCTACCCCAAAATGGGAACTCCTCAAGGGACAGGCATAAAGGCACCCTCCCCAGAGAATGTGTCTCCTGATGACCTACCTGGGGCAGAGGAGCCAGAATATGCTAGAGATGGCTGTGGAGGGGGAGGACCTAGTCCTGCGTCTTGCCCTCCCAGTGCAGTCCCTGGAAAAAGAACGCCTGCTGCTCGGTCAACACCAGCCGGGAGCTGCACAAGGACACCTCCCTCCTGTACAACTTTAACTGGGACCACTGCGGCAAGATGGAGCCCGCCTGCAAGCGCCACTTCATCCAGGACACCTGCCTCTATGAGTGCTCCCCCAACCTGGGGCCCTGGATCCAGCAGGTACGTGTGTCTCCCTCACCCCAGCCCAGCAGGCTGCCTTCCAGCTCAGTTAAGGCTGCACATGCCAACATCCCTGGCTGAGAGGAGCCCTCCCTCCCCACCTCCCATCCAGGTGGACCAGAGCTGGCGCAAAGAGCGTTTCCTGGACGTGCCCCTGTGCAAAGAGGACTGTGAGAGCTGGTGGGAGGCCTGCCGCACCTCCTACACTTGCAAGAGCAACTGGCAGAAGGGCTGGGACTGGACCTCAGGTGGGCATTTGGGAGTGGGGAGATGGAGGCGGGGTTTGGAAAACGGGAGGGGGGGGGCGTTTGAGGATTTGGGGTTGGGTGTGGATTTCTGGGAGTGGCCAGAAATGAGCTTTGGGCCCAGGAGCCGAATGTCTGTGCCCACACTCTCTCCCCCTGCAGGGTCTAACAAGTGTCCAGCTGAGGCCACCTGCCGCACATTTGAGTCCTACTTCCCCACGCCTGCTGCCCTGTGTGAGGAACTCTGGAGTCACTCCTACAAGGTCAGCAACTACAGCCGAGGGAGTGGCCGCTGCATCCAGATGTGGTTCGACCCAGCCCAGGGCAACCCCAACGAGGAGGTGGCGAGGTTCTATGCCATGGCTATGACTGCTGGGGCCATGTCCCATGGGATGGGGCCTCTCCTGCTCAGCCTGGCCCTGATCCTGCAACTCTGGCTCCTTGGCTGAGCCGCTCCCACTGCTGACACATGGACATCTTCCTTGCTTGTACCCAACCTGGTTGACTTTAGCTCAGCCCAGCTCACCTCTTGCAGATGAGGGGGCCTCACCATGCCCTGGTCATTCCTGATCCAAGATGGGTCCTATGGGGTTCCTCTGACAGCCTATTCTAATAGACAGATCCACGTGTGTCTTGTGTCTTGTAAATAATTCAGGAATGATTGGACTGGGGGGACATGCCTCATTGCTTCATCATTCCTGTTGAGAGGCCCAGAGGGACTGGGACTAGCTTGAAGTTCACCAGCAAGTAGGGGTTGGAAGTTGGTCCCTTAGTCTGGGGCTCTTACTTCTCCACCAGGCTTCCCCCTCATGCCAATTTCATCACTTCCCCACCACAGGGGACCAGAGGATTGGTGGAAGGAAGGTGTGCAGAGATTGGTGGATGAGTTATTGGGCTCCTGATGGGAAAGAAAGTTTCTTTCCCCTTCCTTCCCTTACTAGATGTGGGCTGGGGTTGAGATATTGGTGGGGGGATCCCAGTGATGAACACTTGCATTGTTTCCCTTTTATAAATGACAAATAATGCTGCAACGAATAATCTTGTACGTAGTACAAGAATGTTATACTTGAATTCCGGAAGACAGATTGCCGAGTCAAGGAGTATATGGATTTATAATTGTGATAGTTTCAGAGGTGGCTTCAATGCGGCCCCACCAGCAATGCGAGAGTGCGTGTTTCTTCACAGCCTGTCCACACAGGATGGCGTCATACTTTTGATTTTCTGCTAAACTGACATGTGGGAAAAAGGGCATCTCAGTGCAGTTTTCATTTGCCACGTGTCTTATCATAAGAACACAGTTTCTGAGATCTTTCCACATTAATCTATTAAGATCTAGTTCATTCTTTTTTTTTTTAAAGATTGGCACCTGAGCTAACATCTGTTGCCAATCTTTGCTTTCCTTCTTCTTCTCCCCAAAGCCCCCCCGACTATGCAGTTGTATATTCTAGTTGTGCTGTGTGGGACGCCACTTCAGCATGGCCTGATGAGCATTGTCACGTCCGTGCCCAGGATCTGAACCTGCAAAAGCTGGGCTGCCAAAGCGGAGTGTAGGAACTTAACCACTTGGCCACGAGGCCAGCCCCTGTTCATTCTTTTTAATTGTTAAGCAATATTCCAATATATGTTTATTGGATGTATATCACATTTAATACAGTCACCTAACTGATGGATACATGAGGGAGGGAGGTTCATTTATGACCTTGACATTTTTTAAAAGCTTGGGCCAGTTATTTTGTGGAATATCCCTCATTATGGGTCTCTGTTTCCTCATCATTAGATTGAGGTTATGCATTTTGATACGAATATCTCAAAGGCAATACTGCGTCCTTCTTGATGCATCATAACGGGAGGCACGTAGTGTCGGGTTTGTCCATTCCTGAGGATGTTAACTGATCTTTTGGTTAAGATTGGGTCCGCCAGGTTTCACCATTACTTTTTTCCCTTTGTAATTGATAAGGATGCTGTAGGCAGATACTTGAGAACTGTAGATATCCCATTCGTCGTCAAACTCTCACCCACGAGTTTCACTCTCTGATGGAGATTTTTATAAAGTAAAAACAAACAGCAAAAATGTCTTGTTATATGACAGCCCCTCACCAACCCTTTCATGCTTTCCCATGGTATGTGTTGGAAAAACCAAACTTCTTCAGTGCAGTGGAAGGCCCTGCCCCGCTCCCCACTTAGGTCTCCTGTCCAATCATCCCCCTCCACACCCTCATATATGAGCTCCAGTCACACTTTCACTCTAGGGCCTTTACTCCAGCAATTCCCTCTCGGTGTTCCTCGAATGTTCTTTTATCCTCTGCAGGCTGGCTCCTTGTAGCTACTGAGATTTCAATCTACAACTCCCCCCCTAAAATGACTTCTGACCACCCAACCAAAAGAAGTCATCCTGGCACTTTCTTCTCACATCCCTCCAGCGCCCTTGAACACAAATCTATCTACTGAGTTTGTTGTCTGGCTTTTCCCTAACAAAACATACACACCTGAAAACAGGGAATATGTCTATGTCATTTTGTCCCAGATCCCCGGGGCCTGGCTCAGTGTGTGACTCAGAGGAGGTGCTCAGGAAGTTAAGGAATCCATGCACTAATTTTCTCAGCCAGCAGATGCTTTCTGAGCACCCAGTCTGCTGAGCTCGGCCTGCCGACAGCAAGGGAGTTGAGCACGGTCTGGCAGGGCAGACAGACCTGAGAACCAATGACTCTTAGAACAATAAGCTGAGGCTTTGCTACAGGGAAGCACAGAGTGGGGCAGAGTTCTGGGGAAGCCCAGAGAGGTTAGGGAAGGCTTCCAGAGGAGTAATGCTTGCCAAGCAGAAAACGGCAGAAGGAATGGCATTCCGTGGAGAGGGTTTGGCAGGCAATAGAAGTGCACGCAGAATTTCTAGGGGGCTAAGATAGCAGTCAAGAGAGGAAGGGCAGAAAGAGAGGCGGGAGCAAAGCAACAATGGCTCTGCCATCCTCAGGCTGATGCCCTGAGGGCCCCTCACAGAGCTCTCCTTTCTTTGGGAAAGAAGCCAGGCTTGAAATCAGACTCTGATCTGAATCCTGGGCCTTCCTTGCTGCTGGGAACTGCAGTTTCCCCGTGAGGATGGGTGACAAGTGAGTGCATGTGGATGGGCTGGCACTCACAAAAGGCTCCAGTTTCTTCCACATCCACTCCCTGCAGCCCAGAGCCCCCGGCTGTGCAGCTCACCTTCCTGTTATCTTTGTTTGACCATGGGGCAGACTTCAGATTGGGGTCTGCAAGGATCCCAATGGCTAACCTTGCTGGTATTAAGCTTCTGGTACAGGTAGATACTCTCTTGATCAGTTCCCAGGTGGCAGCTTGACCCTGTCCCTTTCTGCTGGCCAGATGGCCCTAGCACCCAGACCCCAGATTCAGAGCAGGGCAGGATGCTCAACAAGGGCAGGGACTCCTCAGGGATCAGAACCCCACCTCCAACTCACCTCCCTGTTGCTGGTTACTACTTCTGAAGCCTCAGGGTACAGGGGCCAAACCTCCCTCCTGCAGTGGAGGGGCCATAAAACCCAGTTAATGATCAGCCCCCAGGGCAGGTGTGGAGGATAAGAGGCAGAGGCAAGTCCTATCTAGAGGAGATTCCACTTTGAGGCATTCCTAGACACCTGGTTCTTCTTCTCCAGTCAGAAGGCTGAGCTGGGCTTGGAAAGCCAGAAAGGAGGTTTGAGGGTTCCAGCGGCCCTCTACCTGCTGAGGTCTTTAGCTGGCTTAACCCTCCCAGGTTGTCACAGGAGTCAGGTAAGGCTCACTCTGAGGGAGAGGGAAACAGGGCACGAGCTGGGGGTCTCCTGGGAAATAATTTCTTTGCAGGCCCTTTAGGACCTTTCTTCTTGGCTGATGCTCCTTCGGAGATGCCTCCTCTGGCTCTGGTCCCCCTCCTGCTCCACGGGCCCAGATCTGTGGCCTTCCCCAGCATATTGGGGCCCCATCTTCCCTAAACTTCCACTGTCGTCCACAGGCTGATGGCTCTCACATCTGCATCCAATCTGAACCCTTCCCCTGGGCTTTTGCCTCTACAGCCAGCTCCCCTTGGGTTGCACATGGCACTTTGACAAAAAGGAGCTCAACATTTCCTCCTGCCCAAATCTGCCCCTCTCCCTTCCCTATCCCCACCAGTGGTACCATCATGGCCTTAGAGGGTGAAAAAAGGAAGGCTTCTGTCCTTGGCTGGCGTGGGAATGGTGGGAGGAGTCTAAATTAGACCAGACTCTTAGATGCTATAGAAAGGATACCTGGGTGGGTGGGTGAGTGAGTGGGGGGTTGGGGGGAACTGGGGCCTTGGAGCAACTGAGGCTCAGGTCATTCCAATGACTGTGATTTTGCAGCTGGAGGTGGCTGATGCCTGGGCCTGATGAGGCTGGAGGAGTTGGTGACTCTCTAAGTTGGGGACATGGGAGCTCCTTGCTCTCTACAGCTGGCAGGGAGCTCAGAAGCCTGTGCTCCAGCCTCTGCTCTGCACTTGGCTCTGTCCGGATTCTGAGTCTCATTCTCCTCACTTGTATAACAGGACAGAGGGGTTGGAAGTGGATCCGATTATTTTAAAGGATCCTGGCAACTCAGGCTGCAAGGTTATATCAGACTTGAGTTTTGAGGAGAAAACGGGCTAAGTGGGGTTCGGGGACTGGCGTCAGGCCTGTTACTATAATCCGCACCCTCTGCCCTCTCCCATGGAGGCCTGGCTGGTGCCCGCGTACAATAATTAACTGCTGAGTGGCCTTCGCCCGATCCCAGGCTCCACTCCTGGGCCACATTCCCGCTGCCTGCCTTCCTGCCGTCTCCTAGGCCACTAAACCGCAGCTGTCCCCTGGCGTAAGGGGAGGTGGACTGTAGAGCAGAGGAGAAGCCTGAGCCAGACAGAGAGCCTCCTTGCCCAGGTAGGCCACTCCCTGCTCCCTATCAGAGGCACACACCCTGTGGTACTCCCAGGGTGTGGTACAGGATTGGCTGAACGGGGAACACTGCTTTGCCTCAAGCACAGAGAATCCAGAAGTGGAGACTGAGGCCCAGAGCAGAGCAGGGGCTGCCAAAGGTGAAACTACAAGTTAGTGTCCATCCCTAACCTAGAAGCCGGCGCTCTGGCCTTTCAGCACAGCACTGAGATCTCAGTGCTTCAGGTCTGGGGCCCTGGGGCAGGGGGTGTGTGTTGAGGGTGATGGTTGTTGCTGGCAGGGGGTGTTCATAGCTGGACCAAGCTCCGAAGCTGAGACTAGGAAGGAGGGGAGGGGAGGGGCTTGCATAATGAGTAGGTCACATGGAGAGGAGCGGGCTTTGGTTCTAGAAAGCAGCCACAGCTAGAAAAACTGATCAACCAGGTGGGAGCCAGAGGACCCTGGGGAATGGCCTTCTAGCCCCCCAGTACTCCTCCAGTTGTTCTCTCCCAGCATTCCACATCAGCTGCCCCCACGAGAGCCTCAGCACAGTGAGGTGCAGGGGACAAAAGCTGAAGGAGCTCCGGACTTCAGGGTCTCAAGTCAGACTTGGGTGGTCCCTGCCGTGGGACTTGGGGCACATCCCTCAAACCATACCACCCTGATTCCTCAATCTGTGCCCAGCTGGCTATCATTTGTTGGGGTTTTCCCCCCTACATTTAATCCTCAGACATAGAAACTAAGCCTCAAGATAATATGAGTCATTTTCTCCTGTCGATGAAAATAATCACAGATGAGCGCTGCAATTGGTTCCCAGCCTAAAGAAAGATGCTTAATCTTTAAGGAGGTGCCAACGTTGGGAGGGGGAGAGAAGTTGCACCTTTATCTAAAGTGCCTTTGCTCTTGCCATAGGGAATCTCTAAAGCAGATATACAATGCATGCTCAACGGCCTCCGTCAGGCCCTTTTGGAAAGACAAGGTCAGGCCAAATTAGGTTTGAACAAAATGGCTTCCTCATGTACTCCAATATATCCTATTACTTGCCATTTTTATTTGTCACTCCCAAGGTCAGGCAGGAGGTGAAGTGTGAGGGCTGGGATCCTGGACCGGCTGATCCGGAACCCTGTTCTCTGATCTGCTAGACCGTAGCCCCAGGAGCCTGATCCGAAGAATCACCTGGCATTCCCTGAGGGTACAGATTTGTCCTGTGCTCTCGGAGCTCAGCGAGTGAGTGGGACAATGGAGGGATGACTGAGTCCTGGGATGAATGAATTAGCAGGCGAGAGAATGAATGAACACTGGAATAAACGAAGTAGCAGAATATTGGGTTGTGGAAGGGTTGGGGGCAAGGAGGAGGAGGGGAACTAGTTGGGAATTCACTTCCAGTTTTCCCTGAGCCCTGCTGGGCGGAGTCAGCCCGGAGGCCACCCAGCTCAGGCCCCATCCAGGAGGTCCAGGCAAGATGCCCGAGTTCTGCAGGCCACGGGGGCAATGTGGAGGCAGAGCAACTTTGTGAGCAGGCAGGGTGCATAAGCTTTAGGAGCCGAGCGTTTTAGGAGAGCAGGCACCTGGTGACCCGCGAGTGGGGTGAAGGACCAGCCACCTCCCAAAGCTCAAGGGTCCGAGGTCAGAGAATTGAGGTGCAATGAAGGCCAAGGGGAGGCCAGTTCTGTGGCAGGGGGCTCAGGATCCTCCCAAGGCCCCATGGGTTGTCTGGCCACCCACACCCACCCCCAGCCCCAAGCCTCTGTGCCCTGTGACATCCCCCAGGTCACAGGGTCTCTGGGAAAGGCCAAATGATGAGGCTGGAAAGGGCTGGAACCAAGGTTTTTTGTTTCTGTTTTTAACATAGGCAGCTTATCTGCAGCTCCAAAACTAAGATACTGTTGTAAGCTTTTGCACCAAATCATTTGGTGTCAAAACCCGCCCTGAAAATTAGTGCGAGGTTATTGTAGTTTTTATTCACCAGTGTCACTATTTCACCACAGAACGTGTGCTTGATCGTTGAGTGCATGTAAATTGTATTACCTTATTTTGTATTACTTTTTATAAAATCTTAAAAATTGTAAACTCTGAAACATTCGTCTCCAAGGATTTTGAACACGGGATTATGGACCCGTGGTCCGGGCTAGTTCCACATTTTGCCCAAACCCCATCCCTTAGTTGTATCACTTGATCCTCACGACCTCCTGGAGGTCAGTGTGGCCCCACCCAAGGGTTGTCTCAGAAGGTGGTGTCTGATCCCAGCCCTCCCTGAGGCCCAGACATGGACGCGTCGGGGTGGGGCGACCCTCCCTGGGCTTCCTCGAGGCCCCACCCACCTAGGGCTGTTCTTCACCTTGAGGTCCCACCTCCACATTCCTTGGTGCCACTGACCACAGCTCTTCCTCAGGGACTGCCATGGCCCTGCCCATGACAACACAGCTGCTGCTCCTTCTGGTGTGGGTGGCTGCCTTGCGGGCAGCCCTGCCCAGGACTGACCTTCTCAATGTCTGCATGGACGCCAAGCATCACAAACAAAAGCCAGGCCCGGAGGACACGCTGCACGAGCAGGTAGGCCAAGGGGTCATCTAGGGTGGGGAGGAGCTGACTTAGGAAGAGGAAAGCAGGAGATAAAAGCGTCAAACCCGTTCCATGGTAGAGGCTGCCTGAGGAGACCTTCAGTTTGCACTGATACGGGCGACTGTTAGTTTAACACATTGTGTGTACCCGGTGTTGTCAGAACCACGCCAACAGCTCAGCTTCTTGGCTGTTGGGTTTCCGTGTTACACAAATCAGGAAGCAGGCCCAGAAATCACGCTGGAGAGACCCACCCCAGGGGGTGACTTTGATTTCAGAGTTTAGACTAGAACTGACCCATCCTAGGATCTGATAGGAGAAAGTACATGGTGCCCCAGTGGTTTCTTTTCTGCCTACACCAAACAGCTCAAAAAATGACTGGATCTTACCAGTCGTGAGGCTGGGTGCAAGGCACCTTGATTCACGCATCTAGCAAACACTTCTGCTGGGGCTCTCCACCCTACTGGATGTGAGGTCTCCTGCCTATGACAATTGTCTTACCACAACCCCTTTAACATCCTGAGCCTATCTAAACACTCAAAAAATCAATTTGATACCATAACTGTAAAAAAAACAAGCAAAAGGAAAGTCATTTGTAATACGCAGTCCAATATGTAAATATTCGTTTTGACCTCATGAGCAGATAATGATCACAGTCCGGTTTGTGCTTGTTTTGAATCAGAGCCCCCAGCTGCCAGTGCAGACTGACAAATGGATACACCTTGGATACTTCCAGCAGCCTTGACTTGAACTTCTTCAGTCTACATTTTTAAAAAAGTGCACATTTTAATATTTTGCTTTTATACTCAATTCTAGGCTGTGGGTTTTCATTCCTTCAACAAGAATGTATTGAGTATTTATGGAATTAGAACTATTCTGGGGGTACAATTTATTTAACTTGGCTTCCTCACCTCCAAGTCTTTGTCACCTTCTCAATGAGGCTTAATCTGACCATTCTAGAAATCTGCAATTCTCCATCCCTTTCCCCGGCTTTATTTTTTTCCAAAGCAATTACCCTGTGAGAAGTGTTCATCGCTGTGCCTCCAGTCCCTAGAGAAGTGCCTGCTTAGAGTGAGTAGGAGCTCAATAAAGATTTGAATTATGAATGTATAAACACCATGCCTCCCCCAAAGAGGAAGCCCCAACAGCAAGTATTTCCCTGAAAGACTGACTACACTGGTGGATGAAGGACTAAAAGAGGAGAGGCTGCCTGTGGGAATATTCTGGCTGTGGCGGGCGTGGCAGTCACTCCCCGCATCTTCCCCACTCAGTGCAGTCCCTGGAAAGAGAATTCCTGCTGCTTCCTCAACACCAGCCAGGAAGCCCATAAGGACATCTCCTACCTGTATGGATTCAACTGGGACCACTGCGGCACAATGGAGGCCGTCTGCAAGCGCCACTTCATCCAGGACACCTGTCTCTACGAGTGCTCCCCCAACCTGGGGCCCTGGATCCAGCAGGTACGCGTGTCCTCCTCTGCACCCCCAACTTTACAGAGGAGCTGAGCTTCCCAGACATCTCCTCAGGCTACCTCTCCGACTCTGGGCCTGATCAGGGCTGCTGAGGATCTTGAACCTGAGCCCTGTTTCTCTATTGACATCTCCCAGGTGGACCAGAGCTGGCGCAAAGAGCGGATCCTGGATGTGCCCCTGTGCAAAGAGGACTGTCAGCGCTGGTGGGAAGATTGTCGCACCTCCTATACCTGCAAGACCAACTGGCACAAGGGCTGGAACTGGACCTCAGGTGGGGGCCGGGGCGGGAGCGGTGGGAGGGATTTGGAGGTAAAGAGGTGGGGGTGTGGAACTGGTGTATGGAGATTCGAGGTTATGGGGCTGGCAGAAGCAGAGATAGTTCCAGGCCCAGTAGCTAAAGATCTTCTGTCCTCCCTACAGGGTTTAACCAGTGCCCAGTGGAAGCTGCCTGCCACCCCTTCGATTTCTACTTCCCCACCCCTGAAGCTCTGTGTAATGAAATCTGGAGTCACTCCTACAAGGTCAGCAACTACAGCCGAGGGAGTGGCCGCTGCATCCAGATGTGGTTCGACCCAGCCCAGGGCAACCCCAATGAGGAGGTGGCGAGGTTCTATGCCGAGGCCATGAATAGGGCTGGGCTCAGTGGGGCCTGCTCTCTCCTGCTCTGCCTGGCCCTAACGCTGCTCTGGCTGCTCAGCTGAGCTCCTTTCACCTTCTGATACCTAGACATCCCTGCCTTGTCTAGCCCCACAGCTCCCAGCTATTTGGTTTCTGCTCCATGGTGGGGCCTCTGACCGACAGTTTGAATAAACCAGACACTCCAGACATGTTGTGTGAATTACTTGGGTGAGAACGGGAGTGTTGACTTTTGCTTCCCAGTTCTCTTTGACTGAGCCAGTTATACTTGATCAACACCCAGCACTGATACTTGCTATGGACTTTCCAGATGCTTAACTGTGCTTGTAACCTAGGACATATTCATAGCTCTCAATTTCATTTTTCACTACAGCTCTAATCCAGAGCCAGGCCCAGGATTTTGTCATTTGAATTGGACCCAAGCCTCCCAGGGTTGACTATTCTGCCCTGTGCTCAGCTCTCCAATAGAAGAGAGGGAAACGGGAATGCCCAGTATGTTCTGAACGGATGCCTGGGAAGAGGTGAAGGGGGCCAGCAAGAGCCGTACCCCACTAAAACCCACAAAGCACTATTTGTCAGACACTGTCCTAAATGCTTTACGGTTATCTTATATTTATGTTATGTTTATTCCTATAGGGTGTAGATACTGTTGTCTGCACTTTATATCCGTGGAAACAGGTGCATAAATTAAGCAACATAGCTAAAGCTTTCACTTGCCTAAGAGCTGGGATTCCAGCCTAGGTAGTCTGGGTCTTGAGAACAAGCTCTTTCCCCTTGCGGAGCAGGTAAATATGTGTACCTTGAAGGCATGATGGATCCCATGCCTGACCAGAGAGGCTGGGCCTCAGCTGGTCTGGCAGAGCTGGGACTGGAACCCAAACCTAGATTCCTAGAACAGGTCCCAAACTCACGATTTGACAAGATTTTAGGCAGTGTTCCCACATTGAGTATAGCGAGTTGCAGTTGCAATAAGCCAGGTGATGTTACAGTAACATCCCTAGTATCTCTCTGGCACAACTAACTTTTATTCCTGTTCAAGCTCCAGTGTTTAAACAGTAGGTTATCAGGGGGATTCTGCCTGTCACCCAGGCACCCGAGTTGATGGAGGCCCCATCTCATCACACACTTCCACGAGACAGGAATAGGGAACCTGGTGAACTCCATACAGGCTCTAAAAACTTCCACCCAACATTTATTTCATTGGCCAAATCACGGCATGACCATGACTAACTTCAAGGAGGCCAGGAAAATACAATCCTAACATGTGCCTGGAAGGAGAGGGGAATCAGAATGTTTGTCAACAGATCTGATGACTACTACAAAGACTTTGTTACGTTACGGTCAGTTTATATTTCTAGCATGGTCATGGTTGCAAATTAAATTTTTTAGTTAGATCCTGGTAAGAAGGAAAACCTTGAACCTATGCAAAGAATTCTGTCAACATGTAAGTGGAGCGATCCGCTGGCCACCATCCTAGTAGTCTTGTGAACAAGGCCAGTTGATGTATCATATCTTCTACAGAACCGGTGCCACCATTTACAAACGTGACTTGTTGACAGATATATTAGAATTACAGTGAAATTTATGATTAGTACCATCTCGATCCAACGTACCTTATCAAAGGCCTATTGTGCTGTTTCTGAATGATTTATAAACATACTTGTCTGAATCCCACTTTCTGCGGTTGTCATCCTCAAGTTCTGAGGAGTCGTTAGCTTGTGGAAAGTCCTAATAATTTTCTATATTAAGATGTCCTAGAGCAGTAATACTGGCATAAGGTTAGCCATATAGGTCAATGGAACAGAACTGAGAGTTCAGAAATGAATCCTTATATTGATACTTAGTTGATTTTTGACAAAGGTGTTAAGACAAGTCACTGGGGAAGGGATAGTCTGTTCAACAAATGAGCTGGGACACCTGATTACCCACAGGCAAAAAGATGAACTTAGACCTTCAACTCATACCATATACAAAATTAACTCAAGATGGATCACAGACTTAAATGTAGCAGCTAAAACAATAAAATTTTTAGAAGAAAACAGGCGACCATCTTCCAGACCCTGTGTTAGGCAAAGATTTCTTAGATTAAAGCTTCCATCCATCATTTATGGATGGAACACAGTCCATCACTGAAAATACTAATAAATTGGATATTATTAAAATTCAGAACTTTTGCACTTCAAATGACACCATTAAGAAAATTAAAAGACAAGTTCAGACTGGAGGACATATTTGCAAAACATATACCTGATAATAAGGATTTTATCCATAATGTACAAAGAATGCTTACAACTCAGTAATAAGAAAACATACAGGGGCTGGCCCCTTGGCCGACTGGTTAAGTTCGTGTGCTCCACTGGGTGGCCCAGGGTTTCGCTTGTTCGGATCCTGGGTGTGGACATGGCACTGCTCATCAAGCCATGCTGAGGCGGTATTCCACATAGCAGGGCCAGAAGGACCTACAACTAGAATATACAACTATGTACTGGGGGCTTTGGGGAGAAGAAGAAGAAAAGAAAAGAAAAAAATGATTGTCAACAGATGTTATCTCAGGTGCCAATGTTTAAAAAAAAAAAGAAAACATACAACCCAATCTAATAATGGGCAAAAGAAATGAACAGACATTTCATCAAAGAAGGTACACAAATGACTAATAAGTACATGAAAAGATGTTCAACATCATTAATCATAAGGAAAATGCAAATTAAAACCACAATAAGATACTATTTCATATCCACTAGAATGGCTATAATAAGACAGACAAGAACACACTTTGGCAAGGATGTGGAGAAATTGGAACCCTCATACATTGCTGATGGAAATGTGAAATGGTACTGCCCTTTGGAAAACAGTGCGGCAATTTATCAAATAGTTAATTGTAGGGGCCGCCCCAGTGGCGCAGTGGTTAAGTTTGCACGTTCCGCTTGGGCGGCCCAGGGTTCACCGGTTCAGATCCTGGGTTTGGACCTGTGCACTGCTTGTCAGGGCCATGCTATGGTAGGCATCCCACATAAAATAGAGGAAGATGGGCATGGATGTTAGCTCAGGGCCAGTTTTCCTCAGCAAAAAGAGGAGGGTTGACGGCAGATGTTAGCTCAGGGCTAATCTTCCTCAAAAAAACCCCCCAAAAACGTTAACTGTAAAACTGTCTTACAACACAGCAATTCCACTTCTAAGTATCTACTCAAGAGAAATGAAAATATACATCCATATGAAGACTCCCATGTGAATATTCATAGCAACATTATTCAAAATAGCCCCAAACTGGTAATAACCTAAATGTCCATCAACTGGTGAATGGACAGAGAAAATGTGTTGTATCCATACAATGGAATATTATTCAGCAATAAAAAGTAACACATGCCCTGTCATGGATAAACCTTAAAAACATTATGCTAAGTGAAACATTATACTAAAGTGAAAGCCCACTTGTATGAAGTCCAGAAAAAGTAAATTTATAGAGACAGAAAGTAGATTAGTGGTTGCCTGGGTCTGGATTTAGGAACAGAGATTAACTATAAATGGGCATGAGCGGGGAGGAAAATGTTCTAAGACTCATTTACGGTGAGGTTGCACCACTTGGCAAAATCATTGTAAACTTTAAGTAGGTAAATTTTATGATATGTAAAATGAATGAATGAATGATTGCCTATAGAATACTCTCCTTTGCAATTGGAGCATATAGGTAATCTGATTCTGATTTTTCTGTGTGTGTGTGTGTGTGTGTGTGTGTGTGAGGAAGATTGGCCCTGAGCCAACATCTGTGCCAATCTTCCTCTATTTTATGTGGGATGCCGCCACAGTGTGGCTTGATAAGCGGTGCTAGGTCTGCACCGGGGATCCAAACCTGCAAACCCCAGGCTGCTGAAGTAGAGCACGTGAACTCAACCATTACACCACTGGGCTGGCCCCTGTGATTCTGATTTTGTGGGGTGTGCCCATGAAGGGGCATATTCTAAGGAATTTAGCATCTGGCTCCATCAAAATCTATCATCTGAGCCAAACTTTGAGTTGGAACAACACGGCAATCAAGGAGGGAGTCTGTTTTGGGTGTAGATGTAGACAACACCAATAGAGATATTTAGGAGAGTGGCCCATTGACCAAAGACGTTTTTAGAGAGAGTGTTTGTTCCAGTTGGCACAAGTATGGTCTACTAAATTGAGGGCTAGAGACCAGAGCCAGGGGAGAGGAAAAGGGCTGCAGCATATGACTAATCAAAAAAAGAACATGAAGCACATTACCAAAAATAGCTACACAATAACCACAATCACAGCTCCTTCATCAACTTCACTCATTCCTTTAAAATTAGTTCTTATTACCTGTTCATGGCCTAGCATCTCCCTCCTTAGAAGTCCTATGCTCCAGGGCAGGAATTTTTCTGGAACTCTCAAGCCTCAGGGCTCTGACAGGTTGAATCATCTAAGTGTTAGTTATGGTGGTGATGTCAGGTCCATGAGTCTATTTTCCTGTCAGTCAATTACAGCAGAGTCTTTAGGAAAACAAAGGAGAGAAGAGGAACTCTTTGTTGACGGGACCAAATGATCTAGTAAACCTATGAATGTCCAATAGCAGAATGAAAGAGAGAAGAATTTTCACTGGGGTGTCATGGAGCAGAGGGTGAAGCTACTGGTGACTGCTGTCTTTCACCGCGTCTCAGGTAACGGCTACTTTGAGGAGAACATTCAGAACCTGGGGAAGGAGATTTTGTCTTCTCCACCAAATTATTTTTGATAATTCCCTTTGTCCTGTTTATTTGCCTGAGCTGTGTGAGTGATACGGACAGTGTATGTATTTAGAAGTCTTGAGGGACATACATTCTATTTTGTAAGATGGACACTAAAATTACTATCAATAATAAAAGGTCATTTTAAACAAAGGCATAAAATCATCTTGGAAATAAATTTGTTGACAGTCATCATTCGCACACTTGCATGTGAATGTGAGTATGCCTTTACTCATTTGGGCGCAGCCGCAATCACTGAAAATTCACAGTTACAAGCATTTACCTTGTATAAAAGTCATCTAGAAAGAATGAGCTCCTCTCTTTGCTGTGACTTCTTCCTCTGCAACGTGGGACGCGATGAACAGGGCAGCTCTTATAATGCTGATAAGCTAATTTTAAAAACATGGAGCATACCAATTATACCTAATTATTTTTAGCATCTCTCCTTGTATCCTTCTTTACTTATGAGTGCCATGCTGTGAGTGAGCAAGTTTTTTGTGTATTCTAGCAGCTGTCTGGGAAGTGTCAAGTTGATTTTGGTGTAAAAGTTGCCTTGATAGTTTTATTCTTCTGAATTTATGGCCTGATCTAGGACAAGGGAAACAGAAAAAAAGTGTTGTCAGGAAACAGCCTTAGTCTTGGTTGTGTTATCAATAAGAAAACTATATTTTATAACAATCTCGTCATTAAGAATTTTAGCTTCTCTAGAATTGAGGATTCCTATTATTTTGTGTTACAACATGACCTGAGAGCATGATATGAATCAGTACAAAGTCAAAAAACTTAGCATGCTTTTTGAGAAGTTAAAGTTCACATTTAGGCTGGGTAAGCATCTACACTCTGCTCTAATGGGAATATACACAGGAAACAAACAAACAAAAAACTTTATTTCTTCATGTTAAAGGTAGACTGTATACTCAAAGGCCATTTTTCTTATGAGCGACCAATATTGATTAAAGCTTTATACTTCTTAAAATAGAAGTAATCGAAGAAGCACTTCTGGAATGGCAGAGTAAGGACATCTGAAAACCCACTCCACAAAAGCAGTAACACTGGCAAAAATTGTCAAAATCAACTTTTCCAGAACTCTGGAAATGATAACCAAAGCTTTCAACAAATCTAAGGAGAATTTGTTCAAGGAAAATGGCTGAATCTCAGTAGGAACAGTGAGCTTTGTGGCATTTTGACTTACTTTTTCCCCCGTCCTCCTCTCCTCAGCTCCATGGTGGCCTCCCAAATCAGTAGTCTCACACCTACAGTAGCTAAGAAAACCAGCGGCCGAGCAGCCACTAGAGGGGGCAGAGTGGGTATGGAACTCCCCCCAAAGCCCTCTCCCTAGAGAATTGTCACTATGTTATCTACCTGGAAGCTCCAATTGAGAGCCCCATTCATAAGGCTAGTCTTTATTTCACCTGACACAGCGCTCACACAATGAGAAACCTTATCCCTAGGAGTTTGTCTAAACCATCAACAGCAAATTTTTGACACCCCAGCTGCCTGAGGCAGGAATACCAGTTGAGGCAAACAACAGGCTGGCCAAAAAACTTAAGAGGAATAGCAGTGAATGAGACGTCAATAGACGGCTTTGAAAATCTCTGACACATTCCTGGAGAACTAGAAATCCACTCACATTTGCAGAACTGAGAGTACACCCAGGAAGTCCCTGAGAAGGCTCTGATCGCTCATCTCTGGTGACCTTGAGCCCCTGCTCAAGCAGGAAGTGAAGGATAAGGCAGAATAACCTGCCAGAGCATTGAAAGCTTGCTTGAACCAACATACAGAGTCCCTTGGCAAAGAGTAGGAGGCTTATTGCTTCAAGGCATTTAAGGAAGTTTCTAATCACGAGCTGACCACTAAACTAACTGGGCAGAAACTTCAGTGACTACCATGACAAAGACAAGAGACTTTACAGAATTAGTCCATGAAAGTCGATAAACAAATAAACAGGGATGGCATTAAGCCCTGGTTGGGGAGATCCGATTTCCAGAGTTGCCACATTATATTATGTGAAATATCCAGTTTTCAACAAAAAATATGAGACGTGCAAAGAAACAAGAAAGTGTGGCCCATACACAGGGGAAAAAAAGCAGTCAATAGAAAGTGTCCCTGAGGAAGCCCAGATGTTGGACCTATTAGACAAAGACTTTAAATCAGCTATTATAACGCCAGCCCAGTGGTGTAGTGGTTAAGTTTGCATGCTCCACTTGGGCAGCCCGGGGTTTGCAGGTTCACATCCCGGGCACGGACCTACACATCACTCATCAAGCCACACTGCGGCTGTATCCCACATACAAAATAGAGGAGATTAGCACAGACGTTTGCTCAGGGACAATCTTCCTGACCGAAAATAAGTAAGTAAGTAAATAAATAAATCAGCTATTATAAATAAGAACTAGAGGAAACTATGTCTAAAGAACTCAAGGAAAATATGAAAATGAAACCTCACCAAAGAGAGAATATTAATAAAGAGATAGAAATTATTTTAAAAATGAAATAGAAATTTGGGGTAGAACATTACAATAATTGAAATTAAAAATTTACTAAAACTTCCTCAACTTGATAAAGAATTCTACAAAAAGAAGCAAGAGCTACCACCATACTTAATGGTGAGAAACTTGAAGCTTTCCCACTAAGATCTGGTACAAGGCAAGGATGTCCACTCACCACTCCTTTTCAACTGTATACTAGAAGTTCTAACTAATGCAATAGGACAGGAAAAGGAAACAAAAGGTATACAGATTGGAAAGAAAGAAAGAAAACTGTCTTTGTTCAGAGACAACATGTTTGTCTATAAAGAAAATCCGAAAGAATTGACCAAAAAACTCCTGGAACTAATAAGTGATTATAGCAAGGTTGAAGGATAAAGGTTAATATAAAAAAGTCAATTCCCTCCCCACATACTAGCAATAAACAAATGGAATTTGAAATTTAAAAAAATATATCATTTATAATAGCATCCAGAAAAATGAAATACTGAGGTATAAATCTAACAAACTGTGTGCAAGATCTATATAAGAAAAACAATAACATTATGATGAATGAAATCAAAGAAGAACTAAATAAGTAGAGAGCTATTTCACGTCCATGGATAGGAAAACTCTACATTGTCATGATGTCAGTTATTCCAACATGATCTAAAGATCCAATGCAGTCTCAATCAAAATCCAGCAAGCTACTTTGTAGATACTGACAAACTGATTCTAAAATTTATATGGAGAAGCAAAAGAATCAGAATAGCCAACAAACTATTGAGAAGAACAAAGTTGGAAGACTGACACTGGCTGACTCCAAGACTTAATATAAAGCTACACGAATCAAGACAGTGTGGTACGGGCAAAAGAACCGACAAATAGACCAATGAAGCAGAATAGAGAGCCTGCAAATCGACCCACATAAATATACCTAACTGATCTTTGACAAAGGAGCAAAGGCCATACAATGGAGCAAAGACAGTCTTTTCAACGAATGTTGCTGGAACAAGTAGACAGCAACAAGCAAAAGGATGAATCTAGACATAGACCTTACACCCTTCACAAAAAGTAACTTAAAATGAATCACAGACCCATATGGATTGCAGATGCAAAACTATAAAACTCCTGTAACGTAAGAGAAAATCTAGGTGATCTTGGGTTTGGTGATGATTTTTAAGATACAAAACTAAAGCATGATACATGAAAGAAAAAATTGATACGCTAGCCTTAATTAAAATTAAAAATTTCTGTCTGTGAAAGATATTGTCAAGAGAATGAAAAGACAAGCCACAGACTTGGAGAAAGTATTTGCAAAACACATATCTGATAAAGGACTGCTATCCAAAATATGCAAAGAACTTTTAAAACTCAATAAGAAAACAACCTGATTTAAAAATGGGCCGAAACTTTAATTAACAGACACCTCACTAAAGAAGATAAACAGATGGCAAATAAGCATATGAAAAGATGCTCCACATCATATATCATCAGGGAAATTGCAAGTTAAAACAATAATGAGATAACACTACACACCTATTAGAATGGCCAGAATCTGGAACACAAACGCTGGAGAGGATGTGGAGTAACAGGAACTTTCATTTATTGCTGGTGGGAATGCAAAATGGTACAGCCACTTTGGACGACAGTTTGGCAGTGTCTTGCAAAACTAAACATACTCTTACCATACAATCCAGCAATCATGCTCCTTAGTATTTAGCCAAATATGTTGAAAACTTATGTCCACACAAAAATCTGCACATGGATATTTATAGAAGCTTTATTTATAACTGCCAAACCTTGGAAGCAACCAAGATATCCTTCAGTAGGTGAATGGATAAATAAAATGTAGTACATCCAGACAATGGAATATTATTTAGCATTAAAAGGAAATGAACTACCAAGCCATGAAAAGACATGGAGGAACCTTAAATGCGTACTACTAAGTGAAGAAGCCAACATGAAAAGGCTACCTACTGTATGATTCCAGCTATATGACATTCTGGAAAAGGCAAAAACTATGGAGATCAGTGGTTGCTAGGGGTTGGGAGGAAGGAAGGACGAATAGGCAGAGCACAGAGTATTTTTAGAGTGAAAATAGTCTGGATGATAGGAATACACGCCATTATACATTTGTCCAAACTTAAAGAATGTGCAACACCAAGAATGAACCCTAATGTAAACTACGGACTTTGGGTGATTAAGATGCATCAGTGTAGGATGTTTATAATGGAGCAAGCTATGCATATGGCAGGGTGGGGTAGGGAGCATATGGAAAATCTCTGTACCTCCCCCTCAATTTTATTGTGAACCTTAAGCTTCTCTAAAAAAATAAAGGTGAATTAAAAAATATTTACTAGATGTGCTCAGCAGCAGATCTGAAGTGGCAGAAGAAAGAATCTACAAACTTGAAGACAGAAAATAGAAATCATCCATTTTTAAATACAAAAAGAATGAAGAAAAATGAACAGAGCCTCAGGGACCTGTGGAAATACCATAAAGCACACTGAAATGTGCACAACAGGACTCCTAGAAGGAGCAGAGAGAGTAAAGGCATAAATAATATTTGGAGAAATCATGGTCAATGCCTCTCAAATTTTGTAAAAAACATTAATCTACACATCTAAGCAGGTCAGTGATGTTCAAGTAAGATAAACTCAAAGAAATTCACATTTAAATATACCAGAGTCAAACTACTGAAAGACAAAGAGAGAATCTTGAAAGCAGCAACACAAAAAAGATTCATTTATAAAGGATCCTCAATAAGATTAACTGCTAGTATCTCATTAGAAACGATGAAGGCCAGGAGGCAGTGGGGTGGCTTACATTGGTCTCCTCTGATCCATGGCGGATACATTCCAAGACCTCCAGTGGATGCCTGAAACCATGGATAGTACTGAACCCTACATTTACTACGTTTTTTTCCTGACTAAGGGGCTAACAGGAGGGTAGCGCATACAGTGTGGATACACTGGACAAAGAGATGATTCATGTCCTGGGCAGGGCAGAGCGGGACAGTTCGAGATTTCATCACACTACTCAGAACAGCACACAATTTAAAACTTACAAATTGGGGCCAGCCCCATGGCCAAGTGGTTAAGTTCACTCACTCTGCTTCTG